CAGAGAAATCTTCAATACGCTGGTTCACTCCCCAAGATGGCTGCAGTGACTGGGCTGAGCCAGGCTGAAGCAGGAGCCGGGAGTTTCTTCCACGTATACCCCATGGGTGCAGGGGCCATCCTCTGCTGCTTTCCCGGGTGCATTAACAGGGAGCTGGATCACTAGGACTCAACGCAGTACCCTTATGGAATGCCGGCACAGCAGGCGGTGGCTTATCCCATTGTGGCACAGTGCTGGTCCCTCTCCCCACAGCTTTTAAGTCAGATCTCAAGGGGAAGCAACCAGAGAAACCGCATTTTACACTCTCACTCACACTCAAGGTCCAAGGGCCCCCAAGGTCATCTCCATTTTCACCAAATACAGCTGCTGATCTGGCCATGGTGGGGGGTTGGTGGGGCCCGTGGGGCCCCCTGGGGTGGGTGGGAAGCCCCCTGAGTTTCCTGAGTACCCAAAATCACTCACTCTATTAAAAAGTTTCCCATCTCTCCACTCTTTTTAAACAGGAGGATTTCTCATGATTTAAGCCAGGAACGATTTCACACTCTAAATGTGTCTTTGTGTTAAAATAATAGGAAAACTGGAAAATAGATTCCAGGAGTGTACTTTAGTTTGGGCAATCTTTTATGGGTACAGATTCTGCACATAATTACAGCAGGGAGTATAAGGATTAAGGGAACTGTAGTCTTGAGTAAGCAATGCGCGTGTTTTTTCTCCCATCTCAATGAGTCAAATAAGATTTTTAAAAAATATTTATTTATTTATTTATTTGGAAGTCAAAATTACACACAGAGAGAAGGAGAGGCAGAGAGAGAGAGAGAGAGAGAGGTCTTCCATTCGCTGGTTCACTCCCCAATTGGCCACACTGGCTGAAGCTGAGCGGATCCAGAGCCAGGAGCTTTTTCCTGTCTCCCAAGTGCGTGTAGGGGCCCAAGGACCTGGGCCATCTTCTACTGCTTTCCCAGGCCACAGCAGAGAGCTAGATTACAAGTGGAGCAGCTGGGACTTGAACCAGCACCAGCACTGCAGGCGGCAGCTTTAACCGCTACACCACAACACCAGCCCTGAGTCAAATAAGATTTTAGAAATTCATCTCTTCGGGTCAGGGTTGTGACGTAGTAGGTTAACCTGCTGCCTGTGACGCCAGCATCCCATGTGAGCATGGGTTCAAGTCACAGCTGATCTACTTCTGATCCAGCTTCCTGCTACTGTGCCTGGGAAAGCTCCAGAAAACGACCCATGTATGTGGGCCCCTGCTACCCACAAGGGAGACCCTGGTGAAGCTCCTGGCTGCTGGCTTGGCTTGGCCTGGCCTGGCCGAGCCCTGGCCATCATGGCCATTTGGGCAGTGAACCAGTGGATTTAAGATTTCTCTCTCTGTCTCTCTGTAATCACCTTTCCAACAACTAAATAAATCTTAAAAAATTCATGCCTCTCTATCTAGCTATACAAAGACCAAATAGATATCTATCTCTTTCCCAAAGTCTGGTTTGGCCACATCTTAAAGAGTATTGGAGATCATTCCACTGATACAAAATAATGATGACAGTATTGCTACCAATACCTTACTAACGGTCACAGAGACAGCAAGTGACTCGGGCAGGATCTGAACCCAGAGCGGCCTGGTGGCAGAGCCTCAGCTCTTGCAGTGTGGTACACTGCTCTCTGCAGAGGTCAGGAACACAACATGCAGGCGCCACTCACCACACCAACGCCACACGCAGACCCCTGGGCCTGGGCTGTGGCCTCGGCAGTGGATGGAGCAGGGCATTGGTCACAGAAGCCGTGGAGGGCACAGGGAAGCATCCGGGGATCTCCAAGCACAAGAAGCCATGCCCACCCTGAAGGCGGGGCCAGTGGGCGGATGAAAAATCAGCAGGCATTCCACAAAGGAGATCCAGCCCTGGTGAAGAAGCAGCTGGAGGGTGAGACATGGAGACAGAGAGAGAGAGGAGAGATACATCAGAGACTCCCTGTGGGGGGTTTCTCCCTTCCTGGTCCATCACACCAATCTCCCCATAGCGCCCCCCCAGTGGCCAAACGCAGCAGACCCAGGAAAATCCAGCCAGGCTGGGTCGTTCCCTCCCAGAGGAAGGGCGGGGCCTAGTGCTGAGGACAAAGCAAGTACAGCCGCATATGGGCCCCGATTTGAGTCCTGGCTGCTCCACTTCTGATCCAGCTCTCTGCTATGGCCTGGGAAAGCAGTAGAAGATGGCCCAGGTGCTTGGGCTCCTGCACCCACATGGGAGACCCGGAAGAAACTCCTGGCTCCTGGCTTCGGATCTGCCCAGCTCCGGCTGTTGTGACCATCTGGGGAGTAAACCAAGGGATGGAAGACCTTTCCCTCTCTGCCTCTCTGTAACTCTACTTTTCAAGTAAACAAATAAATCTTCACATGGCTTTAAAAACGATTATACAGGCAGATCTCTTTAGACCAGAAACTCCCAGGATATTAGAAAGCAAAGCTTATTGAACACCTGCTTGCCATGGGCCAGAAGTCACGTCTGCCATGATCAGGAGGGTGGGTTCCGTTTGGCTGGTTACCTGTCGGAAAAGAGAGAGCTGGCTGCAAACTTCCTGGTCATCAGCCTGACATTTTGGGAAGACGCCCTTGCTGAAACATGTTTGGGGTGGCCTCAGGCACGCTTGCAGGCGCCATGCGGAGCTTGTAAGCTTGTGCTGAGTCCTGGGCATCATTGTTCAGGACCCTGAGGGTGTTGGGAGACACCTGGTTTCTGGGGGCATTGCCAGTGAAGGTTGGGGCTGGAGTTTCAGACCCACAGGGGCCGCGAGGGGATGGAGGGGGGAGAGTCAAGGCACCCTCCCATGGAGGGCCGGCTAGGCAGGCGTGCTGCAGTCACCTCTCAGGTCACCCACCCCCTCACCAGAGCCAACCAGTGTCCTGTTCTAGCCCTCCGTTGAGAGGGGGCTGAGGTCTTGCAGGTTCTGAATTAGAGATTTTATGGCACAGGTTACATGTTGTATGTGCTGTCTCCCGGTTCCCAGAGAAGCCACCCAGAAACACCAGAGACAGCAGCAGAGTAGGCAAGGTTTGGGTGCCCTCAGAGCTCAGTCCAGGACCAGGCAAGATGACTTCCGTGAGCACTGCTTTCCTGATTTGTAAGACGACTTTTTTTTTTTTAAGGAAGTGGCCAGGCTGAGTGATTCTGCAGAATCTGTGCTTCCTTTCACTTTCTTTCTTTCTTTTTTAAAAATTTATTTTATTTATTTGAAAGACAGAGTCTTTAGAGAGAGGTAGAGACAGAGAGAGGTCTTCCATCTGCTGGTTCACTCCCCAGATCGCCGCAACTGCGCCGATCCAAAGCCAGGAGCCAGGAGCTTCTTCCAGGTCTCCCATGTGAGTGCAGGGTTCCAAGCACCTGGGCCGTCTTCTACCGCTGTCCCAGGCCATAGCAGAGAGCTGGATTGGAAGAGGAGCAGTCGGGACTAGAACCAGCGCCCATATGGGATGCTAGTACTGCGGGCCAGGGCTTTAATCCACTGTGCCATAGCACCAGCCCCTCCTTTCACTTTCACGAGTCTGTCCTCTTTTCTCTATCCTTATTTCTGCTGTCCCCTCACCTGTGCTTATGGCTACAGCCATGACTACTTCCCTAGGCTCCAGGATGTGGTGCCCCCACCCTCCAGCCTCACCTACCTGCCCTCCCACCTATACCAGGCGCTCTCCCCATGCTCTGGATGAGCTGGGCTTTCAGTGGCAAGCCCCAACTGTCCTTCTAGGAAAATGGGACTCCCCCCACCCCAGGCTGGTTTAACCCCTGCACACCAGCACATTGGAATTATTGTGTGCCCTCTCCCTCCTGCCAATGCCAAGGCTACAGGGCAGCTTGCGCCTTATTCCTTTGGGTATTTATTGCCCACCACACAACACCTGTGCTCAGTGGTAGACACAAAGCACTTTTCGTTTGGCGCAGTGTGTCCTCCTATTTGCCCATTTAATCCTCACACACTCGGGTGGACTTATTTTCTGATCACACAGGTGAAGGAGCTAGGGTTCAGAAGGTCAGGTGCTTTGCCCAGGTGGCAGAACAGGACACAAAGCTCCAGGCTCTTGGAGCGAAGCGCCTGCAGGACCGAGAACTCCCGTGGATCTGGGTTTGGATCCCGGCTCGGCCCTGGGCCGGCTAAGGCACCTCAGGCGAGGGACCCCACAGCCCGTGACTGTGTCCTCACAAGTCATTCCAGCTCAGGACTGTTGGGAGAGATAACTAAAACAATGCCTGGCTTGCGGCCGGGACTACAAATGCGAGCTCTGTTCCAGACCCTAAGCTTGGCAAACCTCAGCTCCGGCTTCCAACAGAAGCGCCTCCCTCCCGGGGTGCCAGCCGCCCAGCGCCCTGCCCGCGTGGACGCGATCAGCGCATCGGGTACCACGGTCCTTAAAGGACAGGCCGCGGAGGGAGGGAACTGCGGGGTCCTGGGCGTGGCCGGAGCGCCAGTGGGGCGTTGGTCAGCCGGGGAAAGCGGGCGCCCATCGCACCCGCCGCAGAGGGCGCAGCCTCAGTGTCCTCCGGAGGCCGGCGCTCACCCACTAACTCCCCGACGCAGCTCCGCCGCCACCACGCAGGACATCAGAGAGCCGGCAGGGACCCGGGACGGCGAGGCCGCGTGGACTCCTCCGGCGTCCGCCCCGCGGCGCTCAGGCTCCGCCCCCGGCCCGCCCCCGGCCCCGGCGCGGCTGGCGGGAGGCGGGGCATGCGCAGCGGGCAGCGGGCGCGGGGCGCGCGCGTGCAGCCTTTCTCCGCCGGGAGCGGCGCGGGCAGGCGCGGGCCGGAGCGGGCGGGCGCCGTGGGGCGCGGGCTGGCAGTGGGCGGGGAGGCGGGCGCGCGCCAGCAGCGCCGCCGCGGGGCCAGCGCAGGAGTGAGAGGCGGCGGCGGCGCTCCCGCGAGCCCGGAGTCTAGAGGATGCGAGCGACGGTGCCGGGAGAACTGGAACGGCTGTGACCTCGGCGAGGCCAGAGCGAGGCGGGGATCCCCGGGGGGAATCGGGGGTGGGGGACGGCGAGAGCGCGGGGCGCTGCCGGGCGGGGCTGGGGACCAGTGATGAGCGAGCGTGCGAGGAGGCTGCACGCCGCCGCCACTGCCGCCCCGAGCCGCTGCCGGCGGTCCCGGCCCCGGCCATGGAGACGCTGAACGGCCCCACCGGCGGCGGCGCCCCGGACGCTAAGCCTCAGTCGCCCGGCCAGCACCACCGCCACCACCACCTCCACCCGCTGGCCGAGAGAAGGCGGCTGCACCGTGCACCCTCGCCCGCCAGACCCTTCCTCAAGGACCTGCACGCCCGGCCCTCCGCGCCCGGCCCGGCCCCGGCTGCCCCCTCCCAGAGCCGAGTCGCGGTGCCCGCCGCCCCGCGCTCGCCAAGCCTGGCGGGCAAGGCACCGCCCTCGCCGGGGCCCCTGGCTGCTCCCGGCCGCCTCTCCCGGCGCAGCGGCGGCGTCCCCGGTGCGAAGGACAAGCCGCCGCCGGGCGCTGGGGCCAGGGCGGCGGGCGGCGCCAAGGCCGCCCCGGGAACCCGGAGGGCGGCGCGCGCGGGGCCCTCCGAGCCACTGCCTCGAGCCGGGAAGCCGCCCGCGGCCGAACTGTCGCCTGCCGCCGCCAAGGGCCGCAAAGCCAAGCGCGGTTCCGGGGCGCCAGCCGTCCGCACCCTCGGCCCCCCGGCCCCGGCCGCTCGCGTCCCCTCCGTGACCCTCTCCGTGACCTCGGTGGCCGGCTCCCCTGCGCCGGGCTCGCGCATCAGCCACACGGACAGCAGCTCCGACCTCTCCGACTGCCCCTCCGAACCCCTGTCCGACGAGCAGCGCCTGCTCCCAGCAGCCAGCAGCGATGCGGAGTCCGGCACCGGCTCCAGCGATCGGGAACCCCTGCGAGGAGCGCCCACGCCAAGCTCTGCAGCTCGGGGGGCGCCGCCGGGCAGCCCCGAGCCCCCAGTGCTCCTCGCCGCGCCCCCCACTGCCTCTCTCGGGGGCCGAAGCAGCCCAGGCGGGGTCCCCATGGGGTCTCCGGGACCGTGTGCGGCGGAGGATGCTGGGGGACGCGTGCCGCCGGAGCGAGCGGTTCCCGGGACACCCAAAGAGCCCAGCCTGGGCGAGCAGCCCCGGCTGGCGCAGCTGCCGGCGGCAGAGGAGGAGGAGCTGCTGCGGGAGATGGAAGAGCTTCGCTCGGAGAACGACTATCTCAAGGTGAGTGGGCGCGGGTGTCCCGGGCGCGCCGCCGGAGTGTTCGCTGCTGCGGGCTGGGTTGCGCGAGCCCTGCACTTCCCTGCCCCTGCGCTCATTAGGCGCTGGGACTTTCGGCCAAACTTCAGGAGGGAGCCCGAGACCTGTGGGTCGCGCGTTCTCACCCGCTTAGCTTTTCTGGAAGTCTTGCTGTCTTTTGAGCGCGCCTTTTGCTTTTGTGGACAAGTTGGGGGAGAGATGGCCGTCATCCGTTTGGCTACATCAGCCGACCCTCACCTCCAAGCCAGTACCTGCCCCCTCACCTGTGGCAGCAGGCTTTGCCTGGCCGAGCTTTCTGGTCCCCTAGGTGCAGGTGTGTTGCAGTCCTGTGTAGGTTCTGGAAAGCGCAGGGGCCCAAGGCTGCAGACTCGCCTGCGGCTTCTCCTGCAGTTGCAGAAGGAGCTGGGGTCCCTCCCGGTCTCCTCTGGGTAGCACAGGCAACAGGGGGCCCTGGCGTTCATAGTGACACACCTGCAGTTCACAAGGGGTCCTTGGAGTGTGGCCTGCGTGGAGGAACAGTGGTGTTTTGCTGCCAGCCCTTTGCGCGCATGCACGAGCAGGTTTTTCTGTGTCAGGACAGGCCCTGCCAGCACTTTCTAAGGAATCACGGCTTCCACTGCACTCTCAGTGTTGTCCAGCAAGGCCTGCTAATGTGGCCTCTTAGTCTTGTTAGCACCGCGGTGCTTAATCTGGCTCTGTCCTTTTTCCCTGGGGAGGAGGGCTGGGCTGGAGAGGCAGAGGGCATGGAGGGTGCTGGGGAACCAAGACATTGCTGGTGACTTGAGAGGGAGCAAGCCAACTTTGAGTTTATTGTAGTCCTCAGGTTAGTAAATGACTCCAGTGGTGTAAGTCAATGTACTTCTCTGTTAAGATCTTAATGAATATCCTCCCAGACTGGCCGGGTGGCCCTGCTTTATCAGTAGGTTATGGGAGTTGAGCTGTTTGCTCAGCAAATGATGAACCTGCTGGCTCAAGGCCCAGTTTTCGGCCAGTGTGACTGAGGATTGGGTTTTTAAGGTGAACAGTGTTGAGGGCTTGCAGTGCAAGCTAGAATCAGAACACATTAACTGCTGAGCAGTCCTAAAGCTAACCCTCTTATCGGGAGTTATTTTATCTTGTGCAGAGTGAGGCAGAGGAAGAGAAGAGAGGGCAGATTGGGGATTGGAGCAGGGTGTTTCAAGTAGTGTGTGTGTGTCACCTCCCGTTATGTAATAGACTACCGTGCCAAACCCCTAGGTGTTGGGGGAGAAAAGGCAACTCTGTTGTACCGTGTGGCGTGGCTCTATGGTGAGAGCAGCCCTGGTACAAATCCCAGCAAGTGCGAGCTGAGCTCCCCGAGGGTGAGAAAGATCATCTCGTTCCCTCGTGTAGCCTCAGCTCAGAGCGCAGTCCCCGGCCCACTCCACCCAGCGTTTTCTCCTGGAGTCATGTTTTCCTGAATCAGGACTGCTGGGCAATAGCAAACTGATTTTCTTTCAAGAAAGGGTGTTTCTCGCAACATGTTTGATGTCAGGGTGGGCGATCCAGCTTCATGTCAAAGTGCGTTCGTGGGTGCCTGGTAATTTGCTTTCTCTTTCTGGTGGTTGGATTCTCAGTGACCCCGGGGTCTGTGCTGTTCTGTGTGACTGGTCAGTGCTTCTTCACAGCACGCAGGCTGTGACTGCCTCTGTGTTTATCACAACTCCAGTTTCTCAGGAGAAACTGAAACTGAGAACCAGAAAACTTGAAGGGACTTCAGCCGAGGTAACGAGTAAGCAGCGCTGCTTCTGTTTTCTTTCCTCTGCCTTCCGCTGCACCAGGCTTCCAACAGGCCTGGTTTCTCACCTACACCGCTTCGGAGTTGTTGTGTTAGCTCGATGTGGTTCGAGGTTTTGGCTTCCCGAGGGCTCCTGTGTCTTCTCTCTAGGTGCAGGGGCCATCCTGGGCACCTCGCCACTCGCCTGGGCGTGAATGGTCATGGCAGTCCCACCAGCAAAGTTTTTTTTTTTTTTTTTTTTTTTAAGATCTATTTGAAAGTCAGAGTTACACACACACACACAGACAGAGAGAGAGAGAGGTCCTCCATCTGCTGGTTCACTCCCCAATTGGCTGCAACGGCTGGAGCTGTGCCAATCTGAAGCCAGGAGCCAGGAGCTTCTTCCTGGTCTCCCACACGGGTGCAGGGGCCCAAGGGCTTGGGCCATCTTCTATTGCTATCCCAGGCCATAGCAGAGAGCTGGATTGGAAATGGAGCAGCTGGGTCTCGAACTGGCGCCCATTATGGGATGCCGGCACTTCAAGCCAGGGCATTAACCCGCTGCACCACAGCGCTGGCCCCCGGCAAAGTTTAATTTGCAGGAGGTGCTCATTTGCCACTGCCCATGGAGAAGGTGTCATGGCCATCTGTTTGCTACCCTGATTCCATTCCACACCCTTTCCCCTGACAGCAGGAGAGAGAGAATTGGATGAAGGGGTGTGAAGGAGACCGGGAAACTAGAATGATTGCATGTAGGTGAGCATGAGGCACGTGCTGACTTATTCAAAAGCTTCAATTACGTAGTTCAATTTGGGAAAGAAAAAAGTGTCCTGTTGTCCTTTTCTACAAGGTGGCGAGCCGCTGGTGCACAGTGAGGCTGGGAGCGTGGGGTGGGGGCGATGGTCCATGCCTCTGCACGTGGAAGTTGGCTGCGCTTTATGGTGGGAACTTCTCTGGGTTGTTGGTGTTGTATGGGGGTACTTTTTAAAGATGGTAGACAGAAGTGCATCTTTAAGCAGCTCCTTCCATGGGGAATGCTTTACAGAGCTCTCACAGTTACATGTAGCATCCCCCTCTCCCCATGTTACCCAGCAGAGAGAGACTTGGCCCAGAAATGGCTGCTCTCTGGAGTGTTGTGATCACGTAGTCTTGGACTCCTGTTACTGGGCACGACTGTCACAGTTTGTGAGCACTAATGACCAAAGCATAATCGAACGGGAAAATAAGGCCAGCAAAACCACAGGAGGATGTCTTACTGCTGGTGAAGTTCTCCTGGTCGTTAGCCAGACTGCCTTTTTTTTTTTTTTTGAAACAGCAGGTGTGCGCAGGGAGCTGCACAGTATGCCTGCTTTCTGTCTCTTCTCCACCTTCGTCAGAGGGCACTGGGGGGACTTGGTGTGGGTAGCTGGCTTTTGCAGGAAACACAGACACGCATTCTTTGTCCTCCTGTGATTGTGGAAAAACTCAGAGAGATGTTTGGAAGTGTTCACAGATGAAAGGGAGTGAGTTGAAACATCCAGGCGCCTTTGCTTCTTTCTTAAACAAAACCCAGGTGCCTTTCTTAGTGCTGAGGACCGACTCCTCTGGACTGGGCTGCCCCGTGTTTCGCCCCAGTGCTCTGCGACAGTCAGACAGGCTGCAGTGCTCATGGCCAACGTGGTAATTACGCGCTGTCTCCATGGGCTTGTCAGGCTCCGAGTTCACCGGCTCATTCTGGCGATGTGCTCACCATCCGCCCCTGTCCCCTACCCGGTCCCAGTGGTGGACCCTAACTATGCTGATGTCCAGCAGGGCTGAGCAGGGCTGTTTTTTTTTTGCCCTGCTATCCCAGTTATTTCATGCCAACTGTTTTTGGTTAAAAGGAGACATGTCGCCGCCCCTAGCCTCAAGGGCAGGTAACGGCGGCTTCTTGGAGAGGAACGGTTTCCAGGGGGAGGGCGCTGAGTTTCAGTTGCACTGGTTGCATTGGTGGCCACTGAGCCAGTCTTGCCAACCTCTCTCTCGCTTGCAGTCGAGCTTCAGGCTCTAACATACCTTGACGGAAGGCACTCCGCATGGCGTGGGGGGCCCTCTGGGACAAGAAGAAGCAGATCTCAGCAGCTCGAGTGTTTGCAGCCCCTCCTTCCCTCTCCTCCCCTTGTATTCAGCCGGGCCGACATGGGATATTCTCTGCTTTTCCTTAGCATTCTGCTTTGCACATGCATTTGTCGTGCAGCCCGTGCTGAGCGCAGCTGTAGCCGTCTTGGGAGAGAGCTAATGTGGAACAGGGCGAACAGTCCATCAGCTGCTGGCTGAACTGCCACTTGGTAAACAATGGTAGCGGCCCCTGTGCCGCCTTAGCTACAGCTGGGAGCCTGTGGTGAGCATTTCCATTGTCCGGAGGGAAATGAAGTGGATTATTTGTATATTACAAAAGACAATAGTTTCTGTCTGGAACTCCCAGAAGATGGAGTTGTTGCAACAGTAGCCAGATGACTGTGCCTACTGTCCAAATTGGTTCTATTTAAAGGGGAGTATTGAAATAGAATAGATTACTGATGTTGGGTTGTTTAAAAGAGATTAAGATTTGAATGCAGTTGTCAGTGTGATCTAGAATTTTCATTGTTTATACTAGGAAACTGTGGATTTCACTTTTATATTATATTCGTAGATAAAACTGTCCTCCTGGAGGTTTTCATTGAAACATTCAGTTTTCATCTCGGCTTTTTCAGTTGCACACGTAGCGCCTTATTATTCTTCCCATTTGATCTGTGTTAATGGAGCTTGATCTGTGACCTGCAGGCCAAGGGAGTAATTGAACAGCTTGATGCTACTTCATTATGTCCTTTTCTATAAAAATTTTGAAAAATGTGTTTCATTAAAACCGGATGAGGTGGCCTGACATTTATGTATCCCATAGACCTGATGTTACCTCAGTATAAAATCATTGATTAAGGACAGTTTTTTCCCTACTAATTTCTGTGTATAAAAATACAGCAGCAAGTTTTCCCTTTGATTTATTATCTCTAAGCTATGTCTGCCAGAAACACCTCTATGTTCTGCTTGATTTGGTTTCCCTAAACATTTCAAGAGCAGACATCTTTAAGGTCCAGGAATACCGTGTTTTCAAAATCAGAGCATGCCACCAGGAAATCAATGTAATGTTGGTCTGAAAACCACTATCCATCATGACCCTAATCCAAATAATCACAGTTTTTGCTTCTCAAATGGCTGCTGCCAGTTTACATGG